ATCCATTTTCTTCATCCATTCATCCGTGGATAGACAGGGGCCACTTCCAAGCTATTATGAGTTGTGCTGCTATAAACATGAATGTGCATGTATCATTGCAATATGATCAGGAAGGTACCAGAAAGAAAATAGCTAGATTGCGTGGAATTTCTAGTTCTAGTTAGTTTGGTGCTTTTTTTGGTTTTTTAACACAGGGTCTGGGGCTGGGGTTATAGCTCTGTGGCATGGTCCCTGCCTGGCAAGTGTGAGGTTGTGGGTTTGATTCCTGGTACCAAAAAAAAAAAAAAAAAGACAAGGTCTTGCTATCTGTAGTTTAGGGTGGCCTTGAACTGTGTACCAAGCTGGTCTCAAACAGGGTGATCCTGCCTCAGCCTTTCGAGTGCTGGGATTGCAGGCATGTGCCAGCACACCTGGCTAGTTTTACTTTTTTTGAGCAATGTCCATACTGATCTCCACAGTATTGTACTAGTTTATGTCCCCACCAGTGGTGTGAAGGGTTCCTTTTCCCTGCAGCCTCGCCAGCACTTGTTATTACTCGATTTCTTGATGACAGCCGTTCTTTCTGCTCACCCCTTTTGAATCTCTCCTCCAAATCCTTAAACCTTGGCCTCCATGGCCTCTACCCCAGCCCCCCACCAAGCCCCGGGCCAGCTGGCCCACGTGCCCATTCCTCCCTGGTTCCCTCCAGCGCCATCACTTATGTGTCTGTCTGCTGAGTCTCGGGCTTGGTCACTCTCTAGCTGGCTCCATCTGTCCCAGTTCATGTGGTTTCTCCAGCCCCTGCTCTGGACGTGCCCGGGGTGCCTCTGAAGGAAGCAGAGGCCTGGATGGGGGTCCCAAGGGCCACGGGGCTTGAATTCGTTCCTGCCTCCCTCCCTTTCTTTCCTTCCTTCCCTCCTCCTCTCCTTCTTTCCTTCTCTTTCCCCCAACTCACTCCGCCCCCTGCTCACTCCCTTCTTTCCCTGTATTTTTCTTGAGGATCTTCTGTGCCTGGCACTATTCCGGGCACCTGGGGATACAGCGTCCACACTGACGGGACAGGCCCTGCTGGACCCCAGCCCCTCCCTCACCGGCCTCTCTTGTCCCCTGCCCTGCACAGGCCCAGTTCGACCTAGCCTTTGTTGTCCGCTACAAGCCAGACGAGCAGCCTTCACTGATGCCCCACCACGATGCCTCCACCTTCACTGTCAACATCGCCCTGAACCGGGTGGGGGAGGATTACGAGGTGAGCAGGGCCCGGAGTGGCCGAGGCAGGGGACCCAGGGTACACCAGCGCCCCAGAGCCAGAGGACGGGGTGCCAGGTGCATGGGGGGTGAAAGGGGTGGGCTCAGGGTGCCATTTGGCAGGAGGGGTGTGGCTTCTGAGGTGACAAGGTGACCCTTAGGAAGTCTGGGACTAGACTGCCTGGCTCTGGGTCCCACCTTCCTCCCCTTCTCTAGCTCTGTGGCCTCAGGCGCGTTTTGTGGCCCGCTGTTTGCTCCGGTCTCAGGTGGGAGCGCTGAGTGCTGGCCCTGGAGCTCTGAGAACCACCGTGGTCAAGCAGGTCACTGCCTGAAGTGATGCGGGGCTCAGGGCTCCCCGCCTGTGGGAGGAAGAAGGAAGGCCACTTCTGGAGCAGCAAGGGTGGTGGAGGCCGGGTGTGGGGCTGGGGGAAGAGCTGGGAACCCAGGAAGGCATGGGGAGCCTCTGCCTGTGGTCCGTGGGGGAGCGAGCAGGCCTTTGCCCTCTCCTTAAACCTCTGTTTTAGTTTGGTTTTGTTGGTAGTACCGGGGATGGAACCCGGGGCCTCACACACGCTAGCCAGGCGCTCTAAGCAAGCCAGTTCCCACAGCTCAGGGCAGTCTCACCCTCACTTTACAGAAGAGGAAACTGAGGCTCGAGTTGGTTACGAAGTTAGCAGAGGGTAGAGCAGTGTTTGTCTAGGGCTGCCCGGCTGCAAGGCCAGAGCTCTCTGTCTGTGTCGGTGCTTGCTGTCTTCCCCGGGAGGCTGGAGGCTGTCACCCCACAGGGCGTCTTCAGGTTACTGTGCTGAGGGCCACGTGGCTGTGGCAGGAGAGCCCCAGGCTGGCAAATAGGGACCGGGCAGCGGCATTCTCAGCACTGACGCTTCCTTTCTTCCTCTCTCCCAGGGCGGGGGCTGTCGGTTCCTGCGCTACAATTGCTCCATCCGAGCCCCACGGAAGGGCTGGGCTCTCATGCACCCCGGGCGGCTCACACACTACCACGAGGGGCTCCCCACCACCAGGGGCACCCGCTACATCGCCGTCTCCTTCGTGGATCCCTAACTGGCCAAGCGCGTGCCCTTGGACCTTTCTCGTTTGCCGACAACCACTGCCCAGCAGTCCCGGGGCCTTGGGGTCCCAGCCTTCCCGGCGCAGCTTCGGGGCCCTTGACTTCTGTTGCCCTCGGTGCTGCCATTGGGGGGACTGAGCCAGACCAATGGCAGAGCAGCCCGCGGGCTTTTGTGGTGCTCCAGGGCCAGCCCCATGGGGGCATGGATCGTTTCCACACTTTTAGTGACTTGTCTTCCCCACAAAACACCCAGCATCCTCTCCCTCCCCTTCTTCTATGGGCAGGACTTGAACGGAACAGGGCTACCCAAGTGCAGGGGGAAGCCACGCCCCCGAGCTCCTCTGACGCAGCTGCAGCCCCTTGGGATTCTGTCTTCAGCTTTGGGGTGACACAGAGACCTGCTCAGGGGCAGGTTTCCACCCTGAGCCCTGGGCTGCCGAAGTCCCTCTCTCCAGGCTCCGTCTTGAGAACAAACTCTTGTCCCTGGAGACAATGACTCAGAACCTTCCAGAGGACAGCAAAGCATCGCAGCTGCAGCTCGGAAGAAGAAGCAACATGTCCAAACTGCACTGGGTCGCTCTGTCCCAGTGCCTCTGGGGAGAGGGACAGTCAGAAACAGGAGTTCTATTAAAGGTGTTCAAACCACAGAGTGGAGGGTGCTTTGGGGTGGCGGGTGTGTGTGTGGCTGGCAAGTGAAGGGTTGGGGGTAGAAATCCTATTTGCCAGGCGTGATGGCTCATGCCTATAATTCTAATCCCAGCCCTCAGGAGGCTGAGGCAGGAGGATTACAGTGAGTTTGAGGCCAAACCTGGGCTACATAGTGAGTTCAGAACCAGCCTAGAAAGCATAATGAGACTGTCTCAAAAAACAAACAGAAAGAGAAAAAAAGCAGCATTCCTAATTGGTAAGGTAGGAAAGGGTGTGTCAGCGGACTCAGGGACTCCTGTTGCCCAAACCCAGGGCCATGTGACCTCCGTGGCATTTGTTTATTCTGGAAACCCTTGCTGTGAGCCAGGCCCTGGCTGCCTGAGGCACACGTCTTCCTGTCCAGACCTGCATCAGGTGTCAGCTCCACTCCGGAGCCCCCTAACCACTTGGCCTGCAAACATCAACAGGGAGAACTGATGCTCTGGCACCCTGGGCTAAGTATCCTGATCACATCTGGGCATGTTCTAGTCCTAAGATCTTCCATCTATCCACCTCCTGCAGACTGCGCTATAGCATGTCAGGCACTTGGCACACAGCACTTGGGGTAGGGGTTGTTATTTCCTTTTTACACATGGGGAAATAGGCTCAGAGAGGCCAAATCACTGACTGAAAAACACACAGCAAGTAAATGGTAGGGGCAACGATTTAAATATGGTTTCAGCAATTGAAGCAGTCAGATCCCTGCTCCCAGGTTACTGGTAGCCAGCAGTCGGGGGAGGCAGGGACAGAAAACCTAAATGCAGCTCACAGTGAGCTCTGATCAATGTCACAGAGACATAAGAACAAGTGGGAGCGTAGCAGGAGGAACCAGTTGCCTGGCATAACCCGATGCTGTCCATTGAGAAGGATCTTGACCCCAGGGAGACGTTAGGCCAGGTCTGAAGGCAGTCTTGGTTGTCACCACTGGAGCAGTGGATGCTACTGGCATCCAGCAGATAGAGGCAGAGGATGGTCCTGCGCATCCTGCAGTGCACAGGGCAATCCTCCACCACCACCGGAAAGGAATCATCCAGCCCAAAAGGTCCTGAGGCTGAGAGTGCCACGTCGGCTGAGCCTCAGACAGGCCAGGTTTCCAACAGGCAGAGAGACCTTTGAGGCCTGCAGCATGCAGGCAGGCTGGAGTGGGTGGATCAGAATGTAAAGGCCCATTTCTCCAGGTGTCAGTCTGTTTTCAGTTGCTATAAGGAAATAGCACAGCCTGGGTAATTTATACAGAAGAGAGGTCTGTTGAGCCCATGGTCATACAGGCTGGGAAGTCCAAGTCCAAGATGCCCACATCTAGTGAGGGCATTTTTCCTGTACCTTTATACGGTGAGCAGAGGGAGCCAGCTGGCTTAGCTCTGCTTTCCCTGGTGCTGTCTCACCTGCAGGACCTCATCTAACCCTCTGCAAAGGCCACACCTCTGAATGTCATCACCGTAAGACATGGGAGTGAGTCTGCAACATAGGAATGTATGGGTGATGCATCCAAACCACTGCACCAGGCTAAGGAGAGTGCGTGTTACTCAGGAGGCTACTGGAATCACTTGAGGGTTGGATGGATGGCTTCGAAAGATTTTTAATTTTTTGGTTTTTCAAAATTGGCCTGTGATAAGTTCAAATAGCATAGATCTTCATCTCTGTTTCTTACTCCAAACTGCCCATTTCCTCCAGAAGCTACCATGTCTAATCTTTTCCTTGGGTGTTTTTTGTTTTTGTTTTTGTTTTTTTGTTTTTTTCTTATTTTTTTCAGGTATTGGGAATCGAACTCACGACCTTGCGCTTGCCAGGCAGGCGCTGTGCCACTGAGCTAAATCCCCAGCCCCTTCCTTGGGTGTTTATATTAGTCACTTTCCTGTCACTGGCCTGTATTACTTGACACCCATAACTTAAAGGAGAGGTTTATTTGGCTTACAGTTTCCAGGGGGTTCAGTCCATGGCTGACTGGCTCCAAAGCAGAAACAGTACGTGGTGGATGGGTGTGGTGGAGGAATGCGGCTCAACCCAGGGCAGCCGGGAAGCAGAGAGAGAAGGGAGGCGTCACCTCAGTGACCTTCAGTGACCTGCCTCTTCTAACCACACCCCTCCCCCTAACAGTATATTTAGCCATAAACTCATCAATCCACTGTAAGGTATCACACCCCCACGATCCAATCCACTCACATAAGTCCCACCACAGAAAACACTTTTGGGGGACATTCTATTTTTTATTTTATTTTACTTTTTGGTACCAGGAATTGAACTCAGGACCTCGTTCTTGCCAAGAAAGCACCATGCTGCTGAGCTGTACCCCTGGCAGCATTGGAGAACATTCTAAACCATAACAAGGTTCTTGAGCTGGTCTGTGCATGCACTGTGTGTGTGTGTGTGTGTGTGTGTGAGAGAGAGAGAGAGAGAGACAGAGAGAGAGAGACAGAGAGAGAGAGGGAGAGAGAGAGGGAGAGAGAGAGAGTTTATTTTGTTTTTGTGGGGGGTGCTGGGGATTGAATCCAGGGCCCCAAGCGTGCTAACCGCATGCTCTACCACTGAGCTACATCCTAGTCTGGGGTTTTTAACTGTAGCACCTTTTTGTCATGATAAATGGAATTTTTTTTTTTGGTACCGGGAATCAAACTCACGACCTTGCACTTTCCAGGCAGGCGCTGTGCCACTGAGCTGTATCCCCAGCGCCGATAAATGGAATTTATGACCGGGGCCTGAGCCCATGCTTGCAGGGAGGTTTAGGGACCAGGAGGAAATGGACAGGAGAGATGCTGAGAGATCCTTCAGGCCTCCACCTGACTTGGCAAGACTGTCAGAGAAAGGAAATGGAATTCACAGTTCCTGACCAATGAGAGTTTCTGAGGGAGGCCGGAGATTATGGAAATTAAGGAAACAGAAACAATCAGTGACTTTCTGAGACAGCTGGTAATTGAGGCCCCACTAAATGCCACATCCCAGACAGAGGCCTGGTCACACCCAGAGGCAGGGCCCGGACATGGCCCCGCTGTCCAGTCAGACACTCAGAAGAGGTGGCCACCCCGAAGGTGATAAGGGAGAGACAGCTTCCGCTGACCCGCCTCCTAGGACAGGCCCCAGAGTACTGGTTTACCTCTTGAGGCTCTTTGGCTAGATTTTACCCTGCATATGGGGCAGGGCTGTTGCCAGGAAGCCAGGTCCCGGCACAGCAAGGAACTGACCCCTCATTTCCTTGGTCCTTGGCTCTTTGTGCCCTTGATAAAAGAATGCAGTCAAGACCATAGGTGGGCTGGGTATAGTGGCACATACCTGTAGTCCCAGCACTCCAGAGGTTGATGCAGGAGGCTGATGCGGGCTGATTCCCAGGCTTTTGGGTTGCCATGAATTCAAGGCCAGCCTGGGCTACATACTGAGACCCCGTCTAAAAAAATTTTTTTTTAAATCCTGCCTGGGCAACTCAGTGAGACACTGAGGTATGATAATTATCAGCAATGCTTATTAACATTTTAGTTAAAAATTACTTTGATATTGCAAAATGTCTTTGTGTCCTTGTTAAATGGTCAGTATTACTGAAATTACAGAAATTTACAAAATATATATTTTTTGTAGTACTAGGGATTGAACTCAGGGCCTATCTCACTGCACTAAATCCCCAGCCCTTTTCTGAGACAGAATCTCACTCAATTGCCAAGACTGGGCTCAGCTTGTGATCCTGTTGCCTTAGCTTCCCAAATGCTGTGATTACAGGTGTTCTCTACTACACTCGGCTCAAAGGGTAAATTCTTAATTTAAATCAGGTCCCAAACCAAGGCAGGAGAGTCTTTAAAGAACATTTCCTTTCCTAATATGACTAGCTCATGTGTTTGGCAGCCAGGAACGCTGTGTGCTTTGTGTGGAACTAGATGGCCAGGTGGCGGGGTGTCAGTAGGGGTGTGCATAACGTCACTGTGCTCTGTGGGACTGCCTTAGGTTTGAGACCTCAGAAAGAATTATAAATATATTATACATCAGACTCTTCCTTAACTGGCAAAGCCTGCTGTTTTGTACTTTTTGGTTTCCCAGGCCCATTTAGGTCTAACTGCCTGCCTAGACAGTGCTATTCAATAGAAATACAATGTGGGCCACAAATGTGAATGCGATTTAGATTATTCTAGTAGCTACATTTTTGTTTGTTTGCGTTCACAGTACTGGGGATCGAACCCAGGCCCTTCACACTAAGCTAAATCCTTTGGAGACAGGATCTTACTAAATTTCAGCTGGGCTTGAACTTGCAATCCTCCTGTCTTAGTCTCTCAGAGAGCTGGGATTACAGGCATATGCCACCTCACCTGGTTTAGTAGCCATGATTTTAAAAGTTTAAAAAAGTGCAAATTTAGATGATTATATTATTTAACCCAATTTATCCAAAATATAAAAATACTGACGTGACGGTTTACATTCTTTTTCACACCAAGTCTTGGGGCACGTCTCAGATTGCACCTGGGGCATTATGGGTTCTCAGTAGCCACTTAACAGTGCCCAGCCTCGGAGTCTCCCTGCCGAAGCCGTCTCCTGCTGTCTCCTAGTGCCTGGCACAGAATGAGAGGCCCAGTGACTGACACTTGAGCTTGGGCAGTCAGCTTCTGAGCCTAGTATGTTGCTGCTGCTGTCCTGACTTCCACAAAGGCAACTGAAGGGCAGCCGGCCCCAGCCTGTTTCCCTAGATGAGTCACTGCCCCTAACGGTCTGGTCCAACTGAGGGCGCTTGTCTAAAAAAAAAAATCACAAGATTCAAGTCATGATTCCGGAACTGACAGATTCTGGGGCAACAAGCCAAATAAGGGAACCTGGAATCCGCACCGCTGTTTTTTCCTGGCCCCTTGACAGCTGGAG